GAAAGTAAAGAAGGAGGGCAGGCTATTTTTCATTTTTTGCTTATTTCTAGAGAAAACTGTTTTGAATAAATAATACATCTGCAGGATTCTAGTGCAAATGAGTTTAAGGACAGGTCACTGTTCTCGAGGAAATGACTGGAAAGCACATTTGCTGTCTCCATCACTCAGCCAGATGCAGAGCAGCGGGGAGCTATGGGAGTGCAGGCCCCGGAAGTCGCCTGCCTCCTTTTATTGTCCAGGCAACTCTTCCCATCGGAAGATTTTCATGGGAAACTTACCTGCCATTCTGTGTTTTTCACTGACTTTTAACATTAAATTTAGCTCTCTGTTGTCTAGCAAGATTTTAAAGGAAAGAAGTTAGAATTCTGTCTGTTCTTTCATTATATTCTTCAGGAATCATTTATGCGTACTACAATATATCTTACAAAGTTATTTATCATTTTAATTAGTTTTTATTCATATCAGAAAGTTAGTTTATGTTATCTTAATTTGTGTATAAGATTGTACCCTTTTAATTGTTACAAAGCACAAGCATAAAATATGCCGTTTAATACCATGTAGCAGCCACTAAATTTGCTCTTGTATCTATTTTAAAAACTTGACTTTAAAGTTCAAAGAGAGCATGCACTGTCTGGTTTTGAATGAAGTGCTAGGCACTGGCGGGTGTACTCAAAACTTAGGTCTCTCCTTAGCAGGGACAGGAGCCGGTTCTCTGCCTGCTCAGAATGGCCCGCCCTCTTCCCTGCCCATAGTTCAGCCTCTGACTTGAGAGGTTTGAAGATAGTGTTTTCTATCAAACCCTCCTGCTTTCTTTTTTGTTTTTCTTTCTTCTTTTGAAATCTGGAGACATGTTTCATAATATGTCATGCCCATAATACTGAGTTTTGTCAAGGAGGCAATGGGGCCAAGGAATATTATGCATGACTTTTGGGGTATTAAAAAAAGGTATACATTTTTGTAAGAAAATTTTCAAGGAAAACTCATTTATCACTCAGATAATTAAGTTTATTATCTTTCAATATACTTTCTCCCTCCTCCCCTCTTAACCCCTAGTAACTTACAAACTTATGTGTTATTTTCATTGGTTTTTTTCATGAGGAAGAAAGCATATGCCTCTTGTCTTTTTGAGGTCCATTCCCTTTTCTTTTTTTAAATTGAGACGTATAGTTTCAGGTGTTCAACATAATGATTTGCTATTTATATGCTACAAAATGACCACCTTACAAAATGATCACAATAAGTGTAGTTGACATCCACCAACACACATAGATGCAAGTATTTTTTTCTTGTGGTAAGAACTTTTAAGATCTCTCAGCAACTTTCAGGTACACAGGGCAGCATCCTTATTAACTATATTCCTCCCATGCTGTGTATCACAGCCCCATGCCTTATCAGGAGAGGCTTAGTACACCTTTGACCACCTTCGCTCATGGAACCACCTTTGTCTTTCACGATCGTTTACTGCGCTTGATTCCACCTTGCAGAACACATTTCAGACTTTGCACTAAGTTTCCCCCGCCCACATGTGTGCTTGGCAAAAATCATTGCCCTGACTTGCCTTCCCTACTCCTTCCCTTTAAAATATCCATCTTAGAAACATTGCCAAACGTCTAAGCTCCTACTTCCTGATTCTTCCCTCCGTGTGCCCCCCCCCCAGACTCAGTGGAACACTAACTTGTCACCGTTCAGAGGGGCTGTTGTAACACGATTGTGCTCTGGACCCCTCTCCATCCTGACCCTCACTCTCATGGGGAAGACCTTCACTTTTTAAGGAGCAGAAAAGATAGTGACAATATTTTTAAAACTCTGAGTGAATCGGGTGAGCCTTCTCAAAGAATTACTCATTTTCTGATGCCGAGAACTCTCATTTCAAAGTATTTGGTGTGAAATAGTGTGTGTTTTATTTCTGAGAAGACTGTTGGAATTTTAACTGAGGCCCTAGGGTGGGTGGGAATACGTGATCATTCTATAGCCAGAATACCCCCTCACCGAGCCATCCCCAACTAACAATATGTCTACAAAAAGCAAAGGATCAGCAGACTTTCTATAAGATGTCAGAAAATATGTTAGACGTTGCAGGCTATATATTCTCTATGGCAACTCTCAGTTCTGCCACCACTAGAAAACTGCCATCAACAATGCAAATAAATTAAAGTGGCTGTGTTGCAATAAAAACTATGTCCTGGCTGGTGTAGCTCAATGGATTGAGTGCCTGCCTGCAAACCAAAGGGTCGCTGGTTCAATTCCCAATCAAGACACATCCCTGGGTTGCAGGCCAGGTCCCCACTGCAGGCCATGTGAGAGGCAAACCACACATTGATGTTTCCCTCCCTTTTTCCCTCCTTCCCTTCCCCTCTCTCTAAAAATAAATAAATAAAAATCTTTTTAAAGAAACGAATTAATGGATGCTGAAATTTGAATTCATGTAATTTTCACGTGCCACAAAATAGTCCTCTTTTGATCTTTTTTAACCATTTGCAGTTTTAAAAGGCCATTCTTGGTTTGCGTGTTGAACAAAAAAAAAACAAGCCACAGACTGGATTGCCCTGGGCCACAGTAGATTTTCAAGCAGAAAGGACATATATACCATTATTAAACAAGCAAAACAAAAGTAGACTGCTGTAACTTTTGAGGAAGAAATTAGAGAATATTAAGTGCCTAACTAGGTATACAAGGACATCCATAGAGCACCTGAGACAATAAAGTGTCTCCATGGTGGTCCATACCAGCCTCTAAGGCCCTTCTTGAGATGTAACAGGAAGCTCCTGTCTCCTTCTCCTTGCCCTTCCGGTAAGGCCCATCCTAGTTATGGAGCCTCTTCCTTGAACTTGACCTGGAATGGTCAGGTGAGGGTCCAGCAGCTTGTCTGACCCCGGTCAAGCTCACGTGCCACTTCCTCCCCACACTAGACACACCCACCCTCCTGCCACACAGCTGAGAAATGCTTATTCCTGATTCAGAAAACCCTCTATTCTTAGGCCTTATACTCTCTGCAGCTGCTTCCATAGTACCAGAGGGGAGAGCCAGGAGATGCCTGTTGGTGACAAAAATCAGCTGCCTGAGCTCAGTGCCCCAAGAATGAAAACATGGTTTATATCAAGCTGAACTGATGAGAACCTGTGTTCGAGATATAAATTTAAAACGCATAAAGGGATGACATGTAAATAAAAGCATGTCAACAGTTGCCATTGATACATTATCAAGTAGTCCTGCCCTCCCAATATTTTAAGTTAGGGATTTTGCTGTTTTTTTATTTTTCTAATTCTGGTCAATAAATACCTGCAAAAGATTTTTGTCTTCATAGGACATCCAGGGGGGTCAGGAGTTGAAGTTTGGGGATCGTTCAGTCAATAGGCTTTCAAGTAACCTGGAGCTGTCAGTCGGCCACAATCAAGTGCATCATTATTTCACACTTCATTGGTCTGAACTATTCACACTCTTCCAAAAGGGCCATTTGCTACAACTAGCATTTGTTTAACGGTTACATGAAAAGTGTTGAGTCCAGTTCGGTCCAGTGTTCATACGTGGGCATCACTTGTCCATCTCACTTCAGAGCTTGTTAGTTTCCTGTATGTACGTGTGTTCCAGTTTCAGTAACTCACTCGACCATGTGCATGGCACAGATTCTAGCCTCTGCAGGCACTACCATGGGGGAGACCTGCTCTCTGACCTCCAGGTGTTCAGAAACTGGGGGCGGAGAGAGACACCTAAACAAAATCTGTGTGATCTGTCGTGATCGGTGATTTAAGGGAAACAGGAAGTGCATAATTGGGGAGAACCTAGGAAAGGAGCACTAACTGTCTGAAGGTGTGACAAAGTTTAGATGAATTACCCCTTGAACGGTCGCCACTGAAAAGCACTAGATTTGGAGCCAAACACATCTTTTTCCTGGCCTTGGGCAAGTTACTTGACTACACTGAGCCTCAGTGTTCTCATCTGTCCAGTGGGGTTAATGAGACACAATTTGCAGCTCCAACTCTATAGCACGAGTCAGCAGACAGCTCTCTTCCCTTCTCGGGCCCTTTTCACCAGGTGCCACGTGGGGCCCAGCAGTGTGTGGTGGACTGTCCGATGGGAGGGGCGGAGGAGAGCTCAGTGTTTGCGGGGTTGCCTGGGGACAGGGCCCCCATTCTGAATGGGAGCCAGGAAAAAGCTCGCCTGGGTCAGCTATTGTCCCGCTCCCCCGGGAGCTCATTCGGACAATGGATAGCATATCTTTTCCAGGCAAAGCCTTCGCATATTTTTACTGTCCTTACAAGTTGACTGAGGGACCTGGTCAGGTTACATACTTCTTCAGACTGCTTTTTACTCCAAGTTTCTCCCCTAGAACCAACCCAGTGATTGATTCCTCAGGGCTCACCCTAATTCCTGTCGCTGGAAGAGGTATTTAAACTTTACACCATTAGGATAGCTCGGATTTCTTCCCAATAGATGGGCAAAAAGTAGATGTTTACGAAATAATATGTACTTAATACTTCATTTCTGGGGGTGGTGGAGTGCTTTACATTTTAATGAGATTGTGTGCATATTTGCAGTGACTGATAAATGGGCATTGTACCCTAAAATAACCATTGCAGTGATCCCCGTTTGGAGTATTGAAACAAAACATAATGAATTAATTTGTTTCCTCCTTAGAGCCAAATCAACCTGAACAGAGCCCTAATATCCCATGCAGGCCACTGGAGGTCCTGTTTTGTCCAGGAGTCGTGGGGTTTGTGCCTTTTGATACTTTGACTGCAGAGTAATATACCTGTAATTGAGGATGAAGTGTTAACTAAGTTGCCGGATGTCACAGCAGGAGAAGATGAAACTGAAACCCTCATGTCTCTCACCCCAAACGCGCTGATGGGATGGGTAGGCTTAGGAGAAAGGCTTACCCTTAACAAAGGGTTACCGTGGAAAACCCATTGAAAACAGCCACTTCCCAATATAGCGTTCTGGCCTGGTTATTACAGAAAAGTGAGGCAGCACCAAAGCACGTGTCCCTTTGTTTCTTCCAGGGGAGAAACCCTACAAGTGCACCTGGGAGGGCTGCACCTGGAAGTTCGCTCGTTCGGATGAACTGACGAGGCATTACCGCAAACACACGGGAGTGAAGCCATTCAAGTGCGCGGACTGTGATCGCAGCTTTTCCCGGTCAGATCACTTGGCACTGCACCGCCGGAGGCATATGCTGGTGTGAGGGATGCTGCCTGTCCAGCTGAGTGGAAGAGCTGGCTCTCTTAGCGGCACCCAGGTCAGCAGGGCTGAATCCCCTTCACAGTGTTAACACAAAAGGGCATCGCCATCCCACGATGTCTGAAACCAGAGCGGGAAGCGGAAGGAACACTTTTCCTTACGGTCTGAAGGTAAACCCCATCGCGACTCCACAAGACTCGGCTTCACCCTGGCCTGGGAGATCGGGGACGCAAATGCTGAAGAGACAGGCATAGTTTTCCGTGCTGTGTCCTCTGCCATTTAAAGATGTTTGTAGCTTGTACATTTTCTGAGCTGTCAGACATTTTGTTATTGATACTTCAAAGGTCATCTACCACAAATTGATGGCTAGAGCAAGACCTTGTAAATTGGGATTATTCTCCCATCGTCCCACCCCCCCAAACCCCTTTTTACAGAAATTTTAGTTTCCATCTGAGTAAGACAGGATGCACCTCCAGTCCGTTACCAGCAAGCAGCATGAACGTAGGAAAGAAGAAGGTGTCCGAGAGGTTCCGTTACCTGATGTAAAGGGACACCCGGGTAGCCCTTTGCAATAGCGATGGCCGCAGCTAGATATTGCCCACAGCTTGTCATTATGCCATGCCCTGAGGAAAACAACATTGAACCTTTCATTTGTTTGTTGTTGATTGTTTCTGTTCTGTTTTGATTCTGTTTTGTTCATCTGTTCGAGCAGAGGGGCAGGGACGTTTGTCTGGGAGTCCAGTCCCGGTGTCCGCCCTGGCACGGACTGGCACGGAGCTGTTCTGTAGTTGAATAGGAAGAGCCTGTCTAAACAAACTACTGCCCCACTTCAAATTGCAGTGTTCTGTCACCTAGGCATCGTCTCTTCCTGGCCCTAGTATTTGATTACAAGGAATCGGGGGGGGGAAAAACTTTCTTAGACTCACTGGCACCAAGGTAAGAAGAGGTGGGGCTGCCCAGGCAAAGTCAGAGAACATGAAAAATCAGACAAAGCAGAGATGGAAATAATGCGCCTCTTGAGGAGAAAAGCAATAATGAATAAAAGGACTTTCCTACAATAACTTCACTGAGGACTCACGTTACCGATTTTCATACTTACTAAAGGGATTGTAAGAAACACCCCAACATTTTAGATGTCTTGGTTACATTTACAGCACTGAGGTCATCTTTCTGCTGTTTGTTGTCCTGCTTGGTCGACTACCACAATTAAAGATTGTGCTCCCCTTTGCTTGTTGGAAAATGGTCATTTGGCGACTAGCAACGCCAGGGAGGCAGGGCAGGGAATTAGCTCCGGGATTAATGGGTCAGCCCTCCTTGGAACCAAGTCAGTAGAGAGAGCGTGCTCCCCGAGGAAAGCCTGATGCGGTGCTAGCTTCCTGACTTGGAGAGCCAAGGACCAGCGACTCTCCAGTAGGTTCCTCTGCACAGATTTCATTTTCTAAACTGCACCAGGGCCCGGTGGGTCCGAGTCAGCCTCCGCGGGGATGTTGAGTCCCCTCGTCCCGGGCTGAGGGTGAGAGGCAATTACAGGCTCATCAGCCCCCGAAAAGTAAGAGCCTTTTTGGCAGTTCGCAAATTATACAGTAAACAAAGCAATACATCACCAACAAGCATTCTCTCAGAAAAATTATCATATTATTTTCCCCACTAAAAGCTGTTTCTTTCAGCTTTATGTGGCTAAGGGGCTTGGTGAGGTTTTTAGTTATTGTCGTTGTTAAGATTTTTTATAGCTTAGATATAAATGTTACCAGCATATGGCTAGACCTTTGCAATATACTTTAATTACAAACACTTGATTTTGGGAATCGCACAAATTAACCTCACAATATTACTAGCTCAGTTTTAAATGTTTGAATATTCTAAAATAATTTACAGTTGCAGAACTGTCCTTTTTAGAATCATCTTCTAATTCAGATAATCTTACTCTGATGAAGCAAGAACTATAAACCTTGAAACAAAGACAATTTGTGTTGGATGGTATTAAAAGAAATTTTGTTTTTATCATTCAAGCAACAGCATAGTGATTTTCAGGTCAAATTCTGTCTTCAGAAATATGTGCTCTACATTTTCTGCCAGGTCTGAAAAATTCATCAGGCAATTTTTTCTCCAACAAGGGCTGCAGTTTGATTGATAAATTGCTTCTTTAGCTGCACAATCTACTATCCACCAAGCACTGGGATTTTTTTTTTTAACCAACTGGAAAGATTTTTTTATCTGTACTGTATGGAACTCCTACTTCTTATGGCCTGTGACCATTGGGAATGAAAAAAACAGGTTTCTTGACGCATGTCAGCCAGCATTGGTTCTTGGTCCACAGCACAGAACAGGGTGGTGGGTGCACACAGCCACAGAACCGTCTCCGCTGGCCCCAGAACCTAGTTGGCAGGTGGTAGGTGAATTGCTCAGGTGAAGTGTAGACATGGTTTAATTCTGTCTGCTCATAAGAGGGGCCAGTTCTGTTCTGTGCTGAGAGATGTCTTGAGAGTGTCACAGGTAGAAAGGGTTTGTAGAATTCACAGAACTGACAGGCAGTGGGAGCTTCCTGAGTGGCAGCTTGGTTTAAATTTAGCACCGAACAACATGAGCTGCTCCCCTGTAATAACATAGGAAAGATTCAGGAAAGTGCGTTTTTTCTTCTTCTTCCTCTGAAAGTGGAAACCAGGCTGAGACGGTCTGTTAGCTGAGAAAACCTGTCAGTGTTCCCCCTTTGACTGGTCCCTACTTCTGAGGTGGGACCCAAGCACAAGGAGTGAATTGAGTTGCTGATCTAGCCCCAGGACTGAAACTTACGTGGGGCTTGGCTCTGCACGTAACCAATGGTCTTTGTCAAGTTTTCTACAGATGTTTTCCCATGGAAAGGAAACTACTTTGGGAGAGAAAGAATCGGATTCTTAAGTGGGAATACCTGTAGGCGTAGAAAAGCCCCCTGTTTTGTCCTATGTCCATTGTAGCCTCTTTTTCAAAAGCACAGTAGATGATGAACAGCAGCCAAGCAGTAGAATCCAGAGGACTCGTCAGATGTTCCCTAACCAGCAGCATTCTTTGGTTTTAAAGTCTCAGCTGTTCAGGCGCTTTGCCGTGGGACACATGTGCGTGTTGGGGAACTCCCGCCCATGTGGCGGAGTGGCTTGAGAAGCTGCAGGAGGCCAATCTCTTTGCACTGGGGAGGTTTGAGTTCAAAGGGGTTAATATTACCTGAAAAGTTCCAAGGTTCAGGCTTTGAGATTTAAACAGATTCCCTGATCTGAAGGCGTCAGAAAAAAATTCGCCCTTTCCCATCATCCTCCAGCCCCACCCTGTCAGTTGTGTCTAGATTCGGAGAGGCCTGCTTGGGAACTTGTCTTGTGTTCTGAAATTCCAGTGGCTTCGCCATGAACATCATACCCACTGCCTGGCATCACTTCTGCAAAACACTACAGGACACTTGTTTTGTTTTTTTAAATAGTTGAGCAACAGTAACATAAACCCCATTGGGGGAGAAAAAGGAGCACTTTTTTCACTTTAAAGTTTAAGTGGAAAATAGGAAGAGGATCGTCAAGGAAAGAAAATCTTACGAAAAGCTACAGTGTTTACAGTGCCAGTTCCCGGTCAGAAAGGCCACGCTCTAAATGGTTGAAATTTGAATCGCTCGTGCGAAGCTTGTGGTCGTTTTTATACAACTTTTTTTAACTTCAAATTGCCATTTGTGTTTTCAACATAAATATAATTCTGCACTTTGAAATCAGTTCATTAGAATGATAACATGTATATGGATAAAGGTGCAGTATTCCTTATTCTGTACTTTATTTATTATACTTACCAAAGCTGCAGTTGAATAAATCTGGTGAGGTGAGGCCTTCAAATGTATTAATACGCCTTTGTTATGTTGTTATGACTGCTTAGAAATGTAGCCATAATGTTGCTATAAAGGTGTCTTAACATTTATAGTAAGGATTGACAGAATTTAAGCAGTGTTAAGAATACCAGCATTCATGATATATTGAGTTATAGCCTTCATATAAAGGACTGAACATGAGGTAACTCTTACGAATCATAAAAATAGGCCCAGAAAGCCTTAATACTCATAGTCCATAATCCAATCTCAGATTTTGCTTTTTACTAATCTGATGTCTGTAGATTTAGGAAATAAACGTATTCTTCAACTTCATTGACCAGCTCTCTTCCATCACTTTTTCTGAGGTAGTGCATCTCATTACAAAAATCTTTCACTTTGATTTGGTTTTGTTTAAGAATGAGGTTTGGTAAGTGGTGTCTTCCATGTTACATTTCTACTTATCCCCACACTGCCACCTACTGACCGTCCCAGGCACCGCCAGTACACGCTCACCTGTACACGCACCTGTACATGCAGCCGCCAGGGGGCTCCTGAATGTCAACAACCTTTTTTTAAGAGAATGAATTTGTAATAATCCATGCTGTCTACAAATGTAAGTTATTTACCTTATTAGGGAATCAGCTTATAATGCTATATATGACTTTGCCTGCATTTTATAGTTAAGAAGTGTACATAAAGATTTTAAATGCTATATTTTCACAGGTTCATTATAGAGTGATGTCTGTTTAGCAACCCATGTCCATTGGTACTTTCAATATGCTAAATACTGTGCAATTGCGGTAGAAATTCAGATTTTCATAAGAAAATGAAATTGAGGATACTGCATCTTTAAAAAAATAGAGTGAAGCTATTTTACTGTATTCGTAACATATGTGATAATGGAAAAAGTATTTTCAAACTCACGAATTTTTCAGAGGTTGTAAATAGTTTGATGAAGAATGTTGGGGAAAAGAGCTTCTAGTTTTCATCACAATAAAAAAAGAAAACCTGTTCAGATATGCCTTGTATGTCTCACACACAGTCAGCGGCACCGCCGCGGGGACCCGGGCCCACCCCCTCACAGCGCACTCCTCCTGTGCTGGAAGAATGGAGTGGCCACTGGTCTCAAGTCAGCCAGGAGGGTTTAAAACCCGATGAAGTCGTTTTAAGTTGCAATCAGCTGATTCCAAACTCAAAATGTCTTTACCTGAAAAGGGGGAAATAGAAACCGCTGCACAGGATTTTACTTGTGCTGAAGAGAAGCATCTAGCAATTGTTCTCTTTCCTCAGTTATCTTCCTCCTCCACCAAGTAGTTCTTGATGGAAAAACAAAACAAAACAAACAAAAAAAACTGTACAGTGTTTATTCTTGTTTAATTCCAGGGGGAACAGTTTTAGGAGTAGCTAAGTGTTGACAAGATTCAGTGTTATGGATACGGCCACGTGTTTAAAGGAATCTATCCTGGCGATAGTAATAAGCTAATGCCCAGTTCCAGAAATGAATTGAAAGCTGAAAGTGCCTGTCAGTGAACATTACGACCAATGAGATATCCTTCTACTTTTTACACAGCAATAATCCCTCTTCCGACTGGGTTTTTCCTCTACGTTTGGGAACAGGTGCGCATATGCACATCGTGAATTGGATCTGTTCACACACCCATAAAAATATTGTTGTGTCTTTGGACGTACGCCCCATCTTGTTTACATGAGCATTTATGAATTTAATCTTACATACAGCATGTTAAGAATGCCAATCTGAATATTAAAATTATCTTCAACATACACTAGGGTGTATGGCAGTTATAATTTTGAGATAAAGACTTCACTGTGATTTGCCCCAAACTTAGGAAGAAGCATTGAGTAGGCTTCAAAAAGTTTTGCTTAGTTAACAAAAGCCAATGTATTTAGAGTAAAACACTAGAGACATTTGTTTGTCTTACTTTATTTTCCCCACTAATATCAAATGCATGAATCCATCTTTGCTCGCCATGTCCCTGATATTTTCTGTTTTCATTTAGGAGCCATTTTGGAATGAATATCGACACAGTCATTTATCCCTCAAACATCTATAGGAGTGTAACTGACATTTAGTAAGCCAACCTTTAACCAAAGTTTGCAGTTAGCCCTGGAAATTTCCAGATACATGTTTAGAACCCAACAACTTTTTCTTGTCATTATTTACTGCTAAAACTGGAGTCATGAGTAGAAATATATGACTAGATCGTATGCGTAGACCAGAGCCCTGGAAATTTCTCCAGCCCTGCCATCTCAGCACAGATCCACCCAAATAAGCTACTGAGGGCTATAGGCAAAATTATACTCCTTCAGAGCCAAATGTTTGGTCAGAGCAATTTAGAAAGTATAATGGTAATTAAACACTCAGGCTTTAGACAGTGGGGACAATCAGGGTGGACAGTGTTCTCCAGAACCAGACCACAGGCCGAGAAAGCCATCCGCCCTTCCCTCCTCCAGGTTTCAGAAAGAAGGAGAAGGAAATGAGCCAGGATGGGGCGTGAAAGAACCCATTAAGTGTCAAAGGAAGGCTGCTGGGGTTCCTTCACCTCACTGGAGTCAAGTCTCCTGACTGGGCAGCTCTCTGGGAGCTGTCAGGAACCTGAAAGGTCCCAAACTCAGCAAGCCATTAAATAATGGCTGTGTATGAAACGCATCTGATGTGCCAAGCACTGTACTGGGTGATTTGGAGACACGTTACCTCTCAGGTGTACGACAGTTCTACATGTTACGGCTGGGAGACTGAGGCACGGAGAGAGTGGCAGAGCTGTCCTCCGACGGGGACATAGCGGATGGCTAAGTGGGAGTGTGAAGCTCCCTGTCACTGCCTCCGAGGCCTGTATTCTTCCCACGCTGCACCTGGTTCCCAGCAGCCAGCTTTCCATATCTAACTCTTAAGTAGTTTTTCTTGTGGATGCGTAGTCATCACATTTTCCGAGTCAGATACAGGGACCTGATGTAGCACAGATTGGACAGGGGTCCAGAGTATTTGAAACCTGTCTTCTCCTCAACACTCACACATGAAGGGTCACTACAAGGGACTTGCAATAAGCAGGTGTCTCCCTGAACTTGTCACTGTCCTCACACCACTGTCCTCCTAAGTGTTTGGCCTGAAGATCCAAATCATCAAAACTCTTCCCTATTTTGTAGCAATTTAGCCAGGGTGGGTTTTTATGATTCTGTGTATTTCTTTAGGCGTCCTGAAAGCCTTTCCACCTATGTAGCCCTGCTAGACTCTGCTGGCGGTACATTTGAAACTCTGACCTCCACGGAGCTGGTCCTTAATAACAGAGCCCATTCCTGGTAGTTGTGAATGGGGTGGCAGCCACCAGCATTCAGGCAAGGAGCAGGGAGAGATAACAGATCAGTCCTTTTCAGATTTCCCACCTAACGGCACCGCCTTGGAATGTTTTAAATAATCTTATAAATAATTTGTTTATAGTCGTTAGTTTAATTGAATTTTTTGGTGAGAAGCTGTCCAACATTAGATGAACCACCCTCCTCCTTTTCTGTGTAGAACAAGGTCTCTGACAGTATTGATTCATAGAAGTGCTAATGGACTTAGAAAACATTAAGAGAATGTCGTTTCTCATGGTGTTTCTTTTGCTGAAAATGAGTCTCCTGAATTATGATCTTTCTCCCTGTTACTTGGCTGAGGGAAGAGATCAAGCCCATGTAAACAAATTCTTTCTGTGCTGAAAGCCAGTGGTCTGTGTACACAGCCCACTTCGGAAAAGGGCTCTCTCCTCAGTTAATTGGGTTTCACAAGCAATAATTTCTCAACAACAAAATCATGACTTCCAGTGAGATGAAAAGAGACGAGACGAATAGTGGAAATAGTCACACCAGTACTTTGTTCATTCTAGACTTCATCTCTAGAAATTCAAAATATTTGAGACGAGAGAGCCTGCTCTTTGTGTAAAGCAAGAACCACTGACTCTTTGTATGAATTATTCTATCTTGATTTTCCAAAGCAGGCTTACCGAGACTTTTACAGTGATTGATTTTTTTGTTGTTGTTGGGAAATGAGGGCGAATAGAAGAGTAGTAGTATTTGGGTCAAATTCTAGTAAAAGTGCCCAAGTAATCTCAAAGTAAGATATTTTGAAGACCTACCAACATCTTTCCTTTCTGCTAATTTCATGCTCCAAAGATACAGCATAAAACATTATATAGAAAATGCTTTTGGACTACTTGTGCTTTTACTTTTCCCAAAGCAGTTTTGTAATTACATCCAGGCTTTAGTATATATTTTGTTCCTCAAACTTTATGACATTGGATGGGTATTGTTGAACTGGGGCACTGGTGCCTATATTCAAGGCTCTTTCCTATCAACTTGTCTGTCCACAATCTGTTGTGTTTAAAATTCATGTTTAGAAGCCACCATCCCCCCACGGAGTGGTGGCTGTCTCGTTTTGTTCATGTCTGTGGGACGCATTGCATCACGTGGCAAACCGCCTCTGTGGAAGTGAGATGGCTACTCACAAAACCAGCTTGAAAACATCGTCTTCTGTATTATGTCACCTGCATCATTAATGCAATTATGTGCATCATAACATGTTCATTTTTCAAACAGGAGAAACCAGCAAATTCATGTTTGTCCATAGAAGAATGTACTCAGAACTTTCTGTGTTATGAAATGATGAGAGCAGACCACCTTTAAGATACCCACCTGCCACTTAAAATGACTTAGTTATAATTAGGAGTAGTCTAGACGTTGCTTTTGGTGTGTGTGTAAGGGGGGTGAGGGGGTCAACTCAAATGTCGTATTCTTTTGAAAAAAAAAATCGGTCGCATTTGAAAAAAATATGTGGGAATAAAGAAAAACATCATCTTTGGCCAAATCAAGCAGGCATCTTTTTCCTTTTCCTTAACACTTAGCTCATTATACATGGTGATTGGATTATAAAATCTGTCTGTATAAAAGTACAAAAACATCCTTTAGGTTACAAAACAGTTATTCCAGGCCTGAAGCCCTTGAACAGCAGATTGAATAGATGTGCTGTGTCTGATTCACATGGCGGATGTAATTTTACAAAAGACCCCTGGGTCTGTGGCCCCTGAGAGTCCAAGTGCCCAGGGCCTACACATTAAAGAGTAAAACCCCTCAGTGATGCTGGTGAGCAAATGTTGTTCATTTCTTAGATCTTCGTTTGGTTTTCTGTTCAGAGTTCTCATTACAGATGAATTTCATTTCTCCAGCTTATCTAAAGATCTAATTTCCCAATAGTTTCCTCTGCATTTATATACTCTGTAGTGTGTAGGCAGACCCTATTATAAGTTTATTAATATTATGTAAGTGTTGTTCTTGTATTTATGTATAGTGTATGTATTGTAAATATACTCAGAGCCTTTTTTCCTTTTACTGTAAAATGGTGATTTTTTTTTTTTTTTTGCCCTATGATAATGTAAAGGGAGACCCTCCTAATGAGATTCTCTCAGAGGACGGTTATCCCAGTCTATTCTCAGAGATTTAAATGAACAAGTGTTATCGTTTTTAATGGTGTCTCAGACATACTCTGTTGGTGCATTGCTTTTCTGTATTCAACTTTCCTATGAATTGAGCTGTGAACTGAATAGAGTTTAAACCTTTAACTGTATGCATTTGTATAATTATCTGAATGAAGGCATGAAGGTTAAATAAAGCATTTTGTATGGAACAAAACTCCCTAATTATTATTAAGGCTGACGCAGACACTTTGGAAATCACAGTGATTAACCATCCTAATTAAACCTTTGTTATGAAAAGTTTTACCATTTCTGCGTAGTAATTTAAAACACAGAAGTAGACTCTATATTTAAAAATGCACCAGGTTTTTATTTCATAACAGCCAGCACCCAAAGAGGGATTCCTAACTTAATACTTTAATGAATGTAAAATTAAAAAGAGGTCCAGAAGTATGAAGCAATATAAAAAATACATCTTTCATGGACTGAAATTGAATCTCCATGAGTTACAGTTTTTTTTTTTCAGATGCTGTGTTGTCATTGACTGTAGAAGAATCCATCACGCACAAGCCAAGGCTAGATGATTTCTAAATTTTAAAGAAAACTGGATTGTACAGGCTTTTGAAAATATGACCATTAATGAATAGAATGTTAAATAGTTGCTAAAATATTCACTTGAAAAATCTGTTTAAGTATCTTCCTATATATTGTCCTTCTACTGAAGATCTGCTAGCAAAATCCATTCTAACAAAGAGAGTGGTAGTAAGTACTAACCATCACAGAGAACGGTGACATGTGATAGATGATAATTAAAATAACGATTGAGTGCTTCCTGGGTTCCAGGAAGTGTTCTAAGCATTGTATTTGTTCCACAATTCATCACAAAAATCTTGAGTTACGTTGCAGATGGAAACATGAGGCACTGACTTTAGGCAACTTTCCTAGTCAGTCTGGTTCAAGTGTTGGTGTCTTAACCACTAAAAGGCTATGGATTAAATGGTGGGAAAAGGATAGAAGAGGGGAGCAGGGATCAAGGAGAAAGAGAGAGTTCCTAGCCACAAGTACCATACAAATTTTCAACAAATACCTTTGACTCTGTATATACAAGTAAATATAAATAAACCAATCAAAATACCATCCTTCATTTCAAACCCAGCAAACCATGGTATAGTTTAATAACTCTCAAAAATCAGAGGCTGAAACAGATTTTGGCTGTCTCTATCACTGGTCAAATCCAATGAACGTTGAGTCCGGTGGACTCCTTCTGTTCCACTCAAGGACGCGGTGTGGACGGAGCCTCGGGGCTGCGTGCCACGCCCCATTCCATCCAGCACACTACCCCCGCCTCATTCAGGAGGACCGGTGCCCTGGGGCTTTGACCTCCAGGAGCTCTAGGAGAAGGGTCCTGGTGAGTGGTTTCTCTCTCCTTGAGACAGCTTCCCTTTGTGGCTATCACAGTGCCAACTGGATCAAAGAAATCATTCACTAAAAGATTGTAAGATTGTTTGAAAATTAAGGCAATAAACCATCAGCACATTTTTACTAAATTATCTGTGAAGACTTTACTTATGCCATTTTCTAAATATTCCCTGAAGGTAGAGGCGAATAAATTATTAAAGTCTCTTTTGTTTTACACTCTGGTGAAGCACAGTAGTAACTTCATTACTCCAGAAGTTACTTCATTACTTCGGAAGCACAAAAGTAATTCATTACTTCACGGTATTAAATTAGGGCTGAACCTAATTCATTCAATTACTTCATTTTGGATATGACTTTGTAACGAAATGATAAAGTGGGTGTCGGATTTATGTCTTTGACCTGATTTTCTGACAGTTTCCTTTAGGCCATACAAGCAGCCAAACCAGCTCTCCAGCTTTGTTTTGTTTGTTTGTTTGTTTGTTTGTTTGTTTTTTCAATTCCCCACAAGAGGTTTTGTCATAAGGACAGGCTAATGAGACAGTCTCATGGGATAGGTTACCACACTGTCTCACCCTCAAGGTGAATAGTTGTCAGTATTTCTTCTCCCAGTTGACTCCCAGGTACTTCAACGATAGGCGGAAGTATGTAGGTGCTACCTAATTCCGTAACCTCCTCAATCCTCACCTTTACTCCGGGCATTTTGCTGGAGTCATGATTTCTAATCTCACT